GTATTCTCTTAGCTACTTCCTGCTGAAAAGGGACGCTGTGGGTTTCAGGGTGAAGATCTTCTCTCACTACTCTAAAGGGCCCCTTTGGCAGTAGGAAACCCATAGACTATTATGGAGATTGATTTTGGAATTTAGATGCAAATCTCAGAACTCTTGACTGTTATCTATACTTAGACTGGGAAGCTGTTATATGAACAGAGCAAGAGAACATTGCAGGGTTCAAAATCAAGAAAGGAGTGCATTAGGGATGTATTTTTTCTCCATCATGCCTTTTTAATCCATATCAGAACTGATCATTCAGGAAACTGCACTTTATAAAGAAGAACGTAGCATCAGAATTGGAGGAAGAGTCATCAACTTGTGTTATGCAGATGACACAACTATGCTCGCAGAAACTGAGGAGAACGTGAAGCATTTGCACCTCAACATCATGATAACAAAGATTCTCACTACTACACTAATTGGCAGCATCATAGTAGATGGAGAAAAGATTGAGGTTGTTAACAATTTCATCCTGCTTGGGTCCACAATCAACTCTCTTAGCACCATCAGTCAAGAAATCAAAAGACGAGTTGCATTGGGAAAGTCAGTTGTCAAGGACATCTACAGAATTCTAAAGAGCAACAATGCCAGTATAGAGAGTAATGTGTACCTGATCCAGGCCATAGTTTTCTCAGTTGCTTCCTGTGCATCTGAGAGCTGGAAAGTGACTAAGGATGACAGAAGAGAATCAATGCCTTTGAGTTGTGGTACTGGAGAAGAGTATTTAACATATCTTGTACCACCAAGAGAACAAACTGTTCTGTCCTGGACTGAGTAAAACCAGGTTATTCCTTGGATCAAGGATTTTGAAATTCCCATATCACATACTTTGGGTATGTTGCCAGGAGGGACCAGTCCTTAGAGAAGGACAGCATGCTTGGAAAGGTAGAGAGATTAAGAGAAAGACTCCAGATGAGATGGACTGACACAGTGACTATGGCAGTAGGGGTAGGTATGTCAGACGGCAAAATTAGCCCTAGATAGGAGAGCTGTTGTTATTCATTAGGTTACTATGAGTTGTAGTCAGTTTGATAGCACATAACAACAACATATTGGACTTTGAGGTTTTTTTCCCCAGCTGAAAAAATTAGCAAGACCCCCCAAAAAAAAGAGAAAATGTCTAACCTGTACATTATTGTTTTCAGGTAAAATCACTATCACCCAAACTTTCATTTATACCATGTTCCCAGCTGTGATTAAAACCAAGGAAATTTAGTTACTAGAAACATAGGGACCTTTTTATTAACACAGTCATGCTTATTATCCTTGTGTCACATGGTAAATATGAGGGCAGCAGCAATAGCATAAAGTCAAAGGTGAGTTTGAGGCAGTGCCTTTAAAAGAATTGTCCTTGAATAGAAAATGCACTTCAGTAATGTGTTTTATATGAATGCATCGATCAATATGCAAAAGTATTCTTTCCCATGTGGTCAATTGTTTTTCAGACTACTTCAAATTACCATGCAAGGAGGTTTGGTGTTCGTGCAGCCATGCCAGGATTTATTGCTAAGAGACTCTGCCCACAACTTATTATAGTACCCCCAAACTTTGACAAATATCGAGCTGTGAGTAAAGAGGTAAGTCTGATGTCTCACCCCCTCCTTATAGCCCTTCATGTGTTTCTTGTTGCCTGTAGTATCAAGCCCCATTGTTTGCCACAGTGGGACATGAGCATGATGGAAATCATGCTCCAGGTTAAGGCAAGGTTCCTTCCTATCTGTTATTCATATCATCACTGAGTCATAGTTGACTCGTCAGAACCTAACGCTGATAACAGTAGCATCAAATCCATATTCATTGGTTTCTCAGAATTTGACGTGAGCATACATGTCACTTCAGTCCTACTTCAAACCATATCTGCAATTTGTATATGTACATAATATACAGAATATACTGTTCTGTTCTCCAGTTCTTTGCCTTCTCATATGTTTTTCCATTTGCTTTCATTTCCCAGAAAAACTTTGAATTAACTCTCATATAAATTAAATTTAACTGCCTTTTCTTAATATAAATTGTACCTAGCAACAACAATAATAATGATCTTGAGCGTATCCTCATGTGTTTATTGACCATCAGAATGTCTTTGGTCTGTTCCTATACTCTGCCCATTTCATAATGAGGTGTTTACCTTTTTTTGTTCTTGAGTTATTGGTGTTCTCTGTAAATTGTAGAAATGAATCCCTTGTCAGAAGTGTCATCACCAAATATTTTCTTTTGGAGAAATATTTTGATGCACATGGGATTAACACTTAGGGGGTCCCTAATATCTGGTTTATCCTCTGTTGAGAGTGCATTCTTCAGTCTCAAGGTTTATAAACAGTAAAAAACTAAAAACTCATATTTTTCTGCTTTCTTTATCCCACAATCTGGTGAAGATACTTAAGAGCATTTAATATTTAAGACAAAGATAAGCAAACGGAAGGGGCATAATGATCCATTACTTTAGAAACGATCTCTACATGAGAAAGACTTCCTTCAAGTCCCTAAATTGTCACATATGAAAAACTGACATCTTTTCTGTTTTTATTTAGGAACAAAGCAAATGTTGAACCTTCATTTTAGTTCTAAAACTTAATTTTAAATCTTAAAATTTTAAGTACTACAACAAACGTTTGTAGGTGGCCTAGTGGTAAGAAGCTGTGCTGCAATCCCAAAAGCACATGGTGCAAATCCACCAGCTGCTCTGAGGCAGAAGGATGGGCAATCTCCTCCCATGTGATTGACTGCCTCTGAGCACCTGCTCGAGTGGGTCAGCCATGGGTCGGTTCCAACTTGACTGTACTCAACACCACAAGGGTAAAATAGAATCTGTTGTCTGAATAGAAATACGTAAAATAGAAAGTGATCTGAACTGAAATACGTAAAATCTAGCACTCATTTCCACAGAGTGATCTTAAAAGTTATTCCACTTATTTGTTTTATTCTATCTTGTTGATCCTAGAAATGACACCCTCAGTCTTTATTTTATCCAGTGGGGGAAAAAATAATGGAGCAGGGCACGAAGCACACCCACTTTTTGTTACTGCTCACCTCTTTTACTGTATTCTAATTAAAAAGAGATAAAAGATAAACAGTATAGGCTTTTGATGAATTTTTAAATCTTTTAGAGACTTTTAAAAACATTTATTTCAGTTCTGCCTTAATGAAATGTTTGGCAGTATGAAGATGATAACTAATTTTTTTTTCAGTTATCTTTAGTCTGTTTGTTTATGTGAATTCATTTATTTATGGAAAACAAATGGGTTCTTATATGTAGATGAGCTACAACATAAATGCATCACTTATTATATAAATACATTAATATTTATATCTTGATGAAAATAGCTTACAGGAGAGTCTTTTCTTTTTTTAATTTTATTATTCATTTTAATGAAAGTTTACAGAGACTTTGGATGTCCATTCATTCATTGTTGCACTTTTCTCCCTGCCCAGTTTTCTCCACACCCAGTTTGCTCTTCTTTTTGAAAAGTAAAAGAAAAATTCTTTCATTGTTATACAATCCCTTCCCCTAAGTACACTCCACTATGCAGCCTTCATTCTGGACTCCTGTTGTGACAATAATACCTAATCATATATCCCTTTTAAACAGTTCTTTCCCTCATCTGTTTCAATGCAGTATACATAATTTATCGCATCTTTCTCAGTCTCCCCCTAGCCCCGATGTCAGTCCGGTTTTACAACAGTGGCACTATGCAGTATTTGTCCTTCTGTGACTGAGATATTTTCACTCAGCATAATGTCCTCCAGGATCACCCATTTTGCATAATATTTCATGAGTTTCTTGTTTTTCAATGCAGCGTAGTATTCCATTGTTTGAATATACCACAGCTTCTCTATCCATTCGTTTGTTGATGGGCACTTAAGTTGTTTCCCGTCTTTTTTAAAAAAATCCAAAATAATGTGTGATAGCTTTAACTACTCTTAAAACTTTTAAGTGATTTTTGCTGGAACATGTCTTTTTTAGTTCTTAGAGTTGTATGCCATGTAAAGGAAGTTAGTTGAGTGCTCAACAATGTGTCTCAGATTGTCATCATATGTCTAATGCCTAATCATATATTCCTTTTAAACACTTTTTCGTCATCTGTTCCAATTCAGTGTTCGTTGTAAAGTGGACTGGGGGCTGAGAAAGGGAGGAGGAGAGAGGAAATGATGCAAGAAATGACTAAAATTTTTTTTTTAAGTGAACCTGAGGGGAGGGGGACAGGAGGAAAGCGTGCAACAATGAATGAATGAAAATCTAACTTTTCTGTGAACTTTCATGAAAATCACAATAAATTAATAAATTTTAAAATAAACAACCCTAATGTGTCTCAGGATCCTTCTCATTCGGAATAATCTTAGTTGGCTGCTAACTACCAACTTTCGAGACTTTTATTTTTACTAGAATGATTCCTCTTGAGCACATTAGAAAAATATTTTCTTCTAAGAAAACAGAACTTACTAAGGTACTCTCTGAGCAAAACTTAGCCAAATTTTATATCATCATTTTCCAAAATTCCCTTTGACTCAGCTGTTCATAATTATGTTAAGCTGACATCTTGCTTTTTATTAGAAAAAAAAAGTTTCCTCATAACAGACCACATTTAAATGCTGATGGAAACATGGCATAATTCAGCAAATATGCTTTCTAATATACATATCATTTTGGCAAACATTCCCTCTAATTACATCTAATATTTTAGTGGTGAAAAATTATCTTACCTCATGTAATGAAATTATCCTATAGAAAAGGTGTTTCTGATTGTAGCAGATTCTGGCTCCTTGTAACTCGAGATGCAAGTCTAGATTTTTTTCTCCCCATCATTGTACATAGGCCTGGGACTACCTGACAGAGATTGTCAACTTTTCCATTCAAAATCCCAATATAGATAATTGAGTTTATTTTCCTGTGTGAATAAATGCATTAATATGTATGTTGAGTGGAGTTTTATGTGCTTGGTATGATTAAATTAGGTAAAACACTTTCTAAGGCAATAAAGTACTTTTTTCATGACCATGAGTTTTGACAAAGCCCACTTGAATATAACAAAGCATTTTTTATTCTTTTTAAAATTAACAAAACCCAACAGTAAAAGGTGAAGGAGAGAAGAATCCTCTAAAGCCTACTGCTACTGTTGCCCAATGACCTAAAATTCTGTTGCTTAACCGCTTTCTTTATGCTAACCAGGATGCTGCTGTCTGAAATTTGTTTGAAATCACTATATGTAGATAACAAAATAAAAACTTGCCGTCAGATCTATTCCAACTAACTCATTATGACCCAATAGTGCAAAGTAGAAGTAGCCTAAGGCTGTAAATCTTTACAGAAGCAGACTGCTACATTGTTTTTTCTATCTGAATGTGGGTGACTAAATAGGAATTGTACTAGATAAAGTTATTGCAGAGTCTTTTGCCTTCATTATATATTTTAATATAAAAGAGAATTTGGACAAATATGCCCTGGGCATAAATTATTTATTCTCTAAATTTATAAGATTGTATGACCCTTATTATAGTTGTTAAGTAAAATATATATTTTAAAAGTCTGTGTTGGAGGAAGTGCAACCAGAGTGATCCTTGGAGTCAAGGCTGATGAGCTTTATCTGTCATACTTTGAGCATATTCAGTTATGATGAGGCTAGTCCTTGGAAAAAGGCATCATACTGCAAAAGATAGAAGGTCAGAAAAAGAAAACAAGACCCTCATTGTAATGGATTGACACAGTGACCACCATATCTAGCATGGCAGAGATCATGCAATGGGGCAGAATAAGAACCAAACAGCTGACCCTCTAGTGTGTTTTCAGAGGCAGTTAATCACACGGGAGGAGACTGTCCATCCTACTCCAGTGGAGCTGTCGGTGGCCTCAAACCATGTGCCTTCGGGATTACGGTGCAGCTTTTTGCGACTAGGCCTCCAGAGCTCAGTTACATATGCGAGAAGTTTTTTGCAATGACAGAAAAAAGTTAAACCTTTTTTGGTTTTTCTCTTTTTGAAGGTTAAGGAAATACTTGCCAATTATGACCCCAATTTTATGGCTATGAGTCTTGATGAGGCCTACTTGAATATAACAAAGCACTTACAGGAAAGACAGACTTGGTCAGAGGACAAAAGAAGGTATTTCATTCAAACAGGAAGCTCTGCAGAACACGGTGAGTAATTTATTCAAACTAACAAAACTGAAAAGAAAAACAGAAATGTTTTCTTTCCAGTCAGCTTGTTGTTGTTCTTGTTAGGAGCCAGTGAATCAGTTGACTCATGTTGTTGTTGTTGTTATGTGCTGTCGAGTCATTTTCGACTCATAGCGACCCTATGCACAACAGCCCTAAACCCTGCTCTATCCTGTGCCAACCGCACTGCCTCCGACGCACCCATCCCGATTACCCCAGTCACCGAATCAATCCATCTCATAGAGGGTCTTCCCCTCCTGC